ATTGTGCATTTTTTTAGGTTAACCCTGCTGTATTCCATTCCGTACATTGTACATTGTGTGGATTAAAAAGCCTTTTTAGGTATTGTAGCCCCCAGCATTAGATGACATTTTCTTGAAGATTATTTGGGAGCCCTTTTAAATTCCATTGTGATTCACTTTTGGGTCCTAAACCAGTTACTGAAAAGACTGTGGTGCATATCGAGGTGCACCCCGTGGTCACACACAACCTACACACATTCTCACACATTCTCAAGACAGATCTGTGCACACTGTCGTGTCTTCAAGGAATATCTCCAATATTCAGAGTGAATCAGTCTGTTCTCTACAATTTTTAACATTGTGACGAACAGAGGCTGAGACCCTGCCAGGCAAAGCTGTTCCTTACGGTACCATTTTATTATATTTTTAACAGCACAGCTAACGTGATTAACTGTAAGTGGTACAGTTATTAATGCTTTTATATTGCGCTCATCTGTCAGCGTCTTGTTTTCCATCAACTGCTGAAATGTGCTGCAAAACCATAAACTGCTGTATTTATTGGAGAAAACTCTTTGTTCCTTGGTACTATACTATCTTCTTTCATAAGTCTTGGTTTTGCTTACAATAGTATGTGTATTCTGAAGACCATACAGCGTTGGCAAAGATATAAAAGGCCTATTATAAACTGGCTGTTTTTGTAGAGTGTTTTTGCACTGATGCTGTCAGCCATTGGGTTGAAGACATTGAGAAACATTCATTGGCCTGTCTGTCGCCAATAGCCATAAACACAATATTGAATGTGTTGTACCCTTCAGCCACTGCCAAGATAACTGCAGAGGGGAATGGTCAGAAATGGAGCTCTTTCCAAACACAACCCATCAACTAGCCCGAGTCTATCAGAAATAAAGATGTACCCATCAAGCCAACAATGTTTTGACTCAGCTTCTGTTGAGACGTGGTAGCATTGCAGAAAATGAGGGGAAGAGGACAGAGGTAGGGAGACAGAGACAGACTGAGCAGCAGACTGAGACAAAAAGATGGGGGCAGAAAGATGGATAGAGGGATAGAGAGGGTGAGCAGGGTGGCAGAATGCCGAGCAGACGGATCCTGGTATGGCAGGAGCTCTGGGCAGGCGTCAGCTGTCCCTAGCAGACCCCCTGGGGCCACCCAGAATTCACACCCAAATACCCTCCACAGTTTTTCACAAGAGCTACATGAAGTTGTCACCCACACCCCAAACTATGAAGCCTGGATTTGTTCCTACAGTTAAAACACCAGAGAACTCAAATGTTTGACAGATGTACTAATACAAAGCAATAAACAATGTTCCCTTGTAGCTCATGTCTGCTTCACTTAACCTCTGCTTATCTCACTCTAGCCCAGGTTGCCTCTGTTAGCCTTTCTTTCTGTGGTCCTCATAACCCATCTCAGCCCAGCCTAGTCTAGGCCAGCCTAGCAGAGGGTGCAGAGCTGAAGGGTACCGATGAGACGGGTGTCTAAATATGTAGGACGCCGTGTCTATGCTGTGCCTGCTTCACACAGGCCCTGTGACAAGTCGAGTCATGAGGGAGCATCATGAAGAAGGAGTTTAATTAGGAGCAAGCCTCCAAAGGGGCCACAGAGAAAGACACAGAGCCAAGCAAGCATACACAGCTTCTTTTTTTTTTGCAGTCTTTCCTCTCGGCCATACTTTTTCTCCTTCTTCTCTCTCACATTTACTGCACTCACTGTCTGTAGCATGTAGTAGTTTGTAGCCCCCCTCCCCCCCCATCAATCTTTCTCTCTTATGAGCTGGTTTCTTTCTTGTGTTAAACTGCAGTACAGGAAACTTTGTTTGGTTCCCATCATTTTTGTTTTCCAAAAACTATAGAGAAATATAGAAAAAACAGGGGGGGAAATTAATTAAATTAATTAATTAATGGGGAAAAATGTCACTAAATAATGTTCTATGTGTCTATGCAGCTGTAATTTTGTAAGAATAAAATAATGAGCATGTCTTCATGAAACTGAAAATCCTAGTTACTTGATAAATTGAATAATTTTAATATAAGAATGATAATTTGGGGGAATATTTTGTGCATAAAATTCTTGGCACGAGTGAACTGCACCAAAGTGTTTTGTTTAATCCTCATCCTATTAGCATATTCCCCAAAGACTCTATTTTCATGCCAGCTCTCTATACCCATACTCCTCTTTCTTTCAAAAGAAGGGTGGCAGCTCTTTTTCCAATGATCATTATTCTCTCAGTCATTTTGAAATCTATAAATGTCTTTGATGTGTCTTATATAGTGATGATGTCACTGAATAACAGACTCAAAGTCTTGTTTGGAGCAGCAGTCAGTGACTCAATGGAGCAGAGCCATGAAATACATAACAAATTCAGGACACAGATAAAGCAATGGGCTATTAGAGAGGAGGAAAATATATAGGGTGACGAGTGTAAGGCGGCAGGGTGGTGAGGCGGAGAGCGCAAGAGTGAGAGGCCCTTCTATGGCTATATGAGCACCCTAACGGATCTGATTGGTTGTTGGGTTGTGTGTCAGCTTTTGGCAACAGGTGTGATGTCTTTAAACAGGTGGGCATAACTGGAATGAGTGGCATACTGCCCTTATACCGCACCCCCAATGTGCTGAGCCCTGCTGGAAAGCTAAGCTTGGGCCACATGCTTCAAAGTCATATAACACTCACACCCTGGCTCCATGCACCCCATCAACACCCAACGCCAGACCACCAGCTCTGTTGCCCCATATGGGTGTCACCTTTACCCCAGCCCTCATTCTCCTCTCCCAGCAATGCCCCACTGCTACTCGTCCTAGAATAGAAGTGAATCTCTCATGCACTCTTTGCTGGTGGCGGTAGGTGGTAGAAATCTCTTCAAGTAGGAAGAAAAGTTGTTGTTTTTTTTTTTATTGCGTGCATTCTCATGTGAACGGAAAAAGGCCAGTGGTTCAGCTCTTGTCAGTTCGATATGATGCATCGCCAAGGCCAGAATGAAACTACACAAAAGAAACAGCAAAAGTTTTACATCTCACGCCTTTGCCAAAAAAGACAGCGTGCTAAACCTCTGCAACCCCTTTGTTCTTTTGACTCATCCACCTCAGATAGAGCAAGAGTGCCTGAATCACTGTAGGTCTGTTAGAAGTCAGATCTCCTGCATTGCCTTGGTTGATTTGTTTGGTGTGATTTCCTGAAGACTGTCAAAGATGTGAGAGACGCTTTCAAATTCAGAATTCCAGATTTCCACTCTAGGGGCCAAGTGAGGATTCAGAGAGAGAAGAGGAGAGCCAGCAAATGTTGACACGCTTACAGTAGCTGCCTCGCCACGAGACGCCTCAGGAATCAAACAGTTATCACACACACAAAAGAAGCCCTCTAAGTTCACTAAAACCACACTCAAAACAGGCCTTTGTTGTGCTGACATGAGAGATGACTGGATTGTTATTTGTTTTCTAAGCAGCCAGATCGCTCCCTGTCACTTCTGCTGCTGGTTGTGATGGAGTAGCTAGCACTCGTATCGCTTCCATGAGTGAGTACTGACGGAGACAAACAAATGAGAGGAAGAAGTTCACTGAGATTAACTTATCTTAGCATCTATCTTCCTCCTTTCTGCTGCTCAGTCTCTCTTTCTTTTTTCTTGACGCTAACACCCACTCTCACACACCCACACATGCACACACAAACACAGACTCATTCCCCTCTTTCCCCTCCCACACATAGACACACGCAAACGCACACCAGTAGACACATACACACACTACAACATATACAGAGACACACACACACACACACTTGATCAGCATCAAATACAGGGTGTGCTAAAGTAAATTTAATTACGTCTGTCTGATATGGAGCTTCAGATGAAAGTAGGAGAGCGCAGTGTGAAGCGACGACTGCACAGACAGGAGCAGGCCCGTGATATTCCTCCTGTAGACTAATCTTCCTTTATTAAAGCCAGGAGGAGAGTGGGAAGGGGGGCTGAGGGGTTGGTGAGAGAGAGAGAGTGAAAGAGGGGTAGTGAGGAGGAGGAGGAGGGGGGGTGCCTTTGATGAGATCTCTAACTGTCAGCTACTGTACTTTTCTTCTCTCCTGCTCTGTCTTTGTCTCTCACTTTACGAGGCAAATGAACACAGCACCTATCGGTACATGCCTACTTGCTCAAGCAAACATACCCTCGTGATATCACACGCAGTAATGTGCTCTGAAACGTATCCCTGTTGTTATGGTTGTCAACAATATCTAAAAAAGGACAGAGGCAGCTCTCTCTGTCTCTCTCTCTCTCTTTCTCCCTCTCCTTCTTGCGCTCTCTTTGTCTGCGTCTCTCTTCCACTCAGAGGGAGTGGTGAGCGTGGAGCTGTTTTCTGGCCACTCTAATGGGGGCAGGTGGCCATCAGGTGGCCAAAACAGAAACTGCCACATTTAATAGCACATATACCATAGTCATGAACTCGAGCACCTCTACTGTATTTTAATTCTATTTCATGATCCACTGATGATTATGGTTATAAAATTGTGTTTTACTTTTATGACTTTTCCCTTTCCTGTGTAATTATGAGGTTTTCAATGTCCCATGATTTGTCATTTTGGTCAAGAGTTTGATCATTTGTTATTGTTTTGTTATTGGATGTGATTAAATCTGTCGTGCAATCTGGAATGTTTGCATGTTTACTTGTTCACAAAGCAGCCAGTGTATTTTTGTGTCACCCCACGTGGATGGAGGTTAGAATGGAGCCTGCCAAACGGATTTATTGAAAAGGTTAAAGATCTTTTGGAGAACAATTTCTCAGAAACAGACCCAATTTTCTCCTAGAGAAAATTTTGTCTACGAGAATCTGAGATAAATGAAGATAAACAAAAAAAATAATTTACCAAACTCCCTTTAATTGGACTTGACTTTGTCAGGATCGATTCTAACAGGTTACTCCTCACAGTTCATCACCATTTGTCCCCCCCTGGGTTCACCTGGGTCACTGTTCCCTACCCCAACGCCCTTCAACTATGTTGTGCAACTGCTCTGTTTGCAGACATTGAGAAAGAAGGGCCTAAACGGCTGTGACAGCCCAGACCCCGACGCAGACGACTCGGTCGGCCACAGCCCCGAGTCCGAGGACAAGTACAGGAAAATAAACGAGGACATTGATCTGATGATCAGCAGACAGAGACTGTGTGTAAGTACCTCTTGTTGAACCCCGAGCCTTCCTCTCACCTTTCTTTCCTCTCTTTCCCTTTTTGTCCCCTATGCTTTCTGTCACTTCGTCCTCGTCTCCTCATTTTCGCCATCACCCATCTCTCCGTCCCTTCATCTGTGTCTCCCTCCGTCTCCGTCTCTCTGGTTGTGGGACCTGGCAGGCATTGAGCAAGAAGGAGAACAAAGGCGGCGAGAGCCCGGAGCTCGAGTCTGCTCTCATCCTCACCCCACGCACTGAGGAGAAATACAAACAGATTAACGAGGAGTTTGATCACATGATTAAAACTCATAAGATACCTGTAAGTACTGGGTTGACACTATGCCGCACCCTCGGCAGGCTAACCAAACGCTGACTGGCCAGTAACTGTTGAGCTAACCCAGCTAACCACCATTGTTTGCCACTAGACTAAATACACAAAGTGAGAGTGAGAGGAAAACTAGAATGAGATCATATTGTATACTTAGAGTGAAAGAAATGACAGTTCTTTGATTTTGCTTGATTACAGTTGAGAGACGGTCCTCTAATTTGACATAACTGTAACCATTACTAGCACGCATTTTTGCTATAGTAATTGCAGACTTTCTCTCATGACAAATTTTAACCTTACTGGGTTCCCTCCTTGAACCCGTTACCCATAATGCCTTGCCTGGCTCTCAAGGGAGGTGCGGTCGGCATGTGCTTTTCCTTTTCCTGCACCAAAACACAGCGCTCAGTCACCCGCAGCAACAAGGACAGACACTGTGGCAATGAAACAGTAGCAGACATTCAAACACTCTTAAGCCTATCTCCGTACCTCACAAAACTCAATTATCTCTCGTCCTTGCTGAAATAATTTAAGGGATATTCTTCAGTAGCCTAACAGCATCATTAGAACAGCATCTTTTTTAATGGGCGTAGAGATGTCAAGACATGTCAGCTGCTTGATTTATATTAAATAGTGTTAATTTCACAGAAGTATCTAATCTATAACCAGCTGCCAGAAACCACAACATAAAGGCTGCTTTCTATGTAAACTGAGCCTACCCTTTATTCAGAAAGAAACATATTGGAATGGTTAGTGCTCTAGCCGTACAGAGAAAGAGATAATTCCATGGTAGATAATTCAGCGAAGAACAGTAGTGTCTAAGCCGCGTGGAGCAGGGGGAGATGTGGTTAGAAGCATGGCAGGGGTTAGTGAGCTGGGGTGGCGTGGCGGGGTGGAGTGGGTTTGGGATCGGAGCTGGGTGGGGATGGGGGTGGAACAGCAGGGGTGGTGGTGTTGGCGGGGGGGCTTTGCACACAACAAGTGGCAGTTCAGTGTGTGGTCAGGGTGGCTGCCAAGCACTGGGCCTCAGGATTGCAGGAGACTGTTGAGGGGACTGTGGGGAGAGGCGGAGGAGGAAGATGAATGAAAACAGGAAGGATGGCACCAGTTAAAGGACAGCTTACAGACGGGGCCCTCACACCCAGCGATGGGGCACACGCAAATGTGCTCACAGATACAGCTCCCCCACTCTCCCCCACCGCACAGACAAGTCATGAGGTTTAAAACTCCAACAAGGAATTCGATATGGAAGAATTTACTGAAAGTCTTAAAAAAAAAATAAAACCAGAGACAGCCCCTCACTGGTTATAAAAGAAAGCATCCATAGCTTTTGGCTTGCCCACTCCTGTGTAAAGTTGCAATAAAAGCGAAACGTGCCGAGGCCTGCAATGAAATATGGTTAACGTAATCATCTTTGTACGTTGGAATAATATTTGGCCTGCAAAAAGAACATTAGCAAAAGGGAGAAAATTGAAGAAGACGAAAGCAGTGCTAAGGCACATATCCCACTTCCACATAAGCCAGGCTGATGATCCCCCTGATGCGCTCCTTCCATGGCTCTGAGACACATGGCAGTAATTTAGGGCCCTATTTTCTACTTCCTAAAGCTAACATGCAGGATCAACCACTTCCAGGGCACTCCCAAGGTTAAGCCCTTCTGCCAAGTGACACAATAAACATGACAAACTAGACGCCCGGGGCCGGCAGGCTACCTCTACTCATGTTCCTGATGAGACTGCTGACTGATCGGAGTCTACCACTTAAAAACACTTTGCATTAGCTCCATTTGACAGAAAAATAAAATATTCCTAATTGTAGACAGTTCTCCAGTCTTGAAGCTACTTTTACAAGAAATACTGCAGCCTTTTTTTAGTGAGGTGAAGACAGACTGAATTATCTTTAGCTCTTTTAGAACAGTGGGATGCCATTGGCTTTATTCCCAGTAAACCATAGCCTTCTTATTTCATAAATGTAATAAACCAGGAATGAATCTTGGAGAATATAAATGCAGTGACCACATCACGATATTTCCTCAGATAAACCTTTTGCCTTCACAATGACAAATGTCACATCGTGTCAGAGACATAAAGATATTAGTAGCCTCCAAAGTAACCTGCCTATTCTGGATCAAGTTGTAATGACAGTGTGTTGCCAACCCATATATCATCTTGGGGGCAATTTGAGTAACTCTGGGAGGATTTTTCTAGAAGCTTACCCTTATATTTTTGTGCAGTGCTCCCTTTCACCATCCATACTGTCATATAATTTCTGTCTTTGTTCTAAGCGGTTGTTCTTTGTACTGTTCATCTATGCATGGCTCTCTATTGTTACTTGTCCATTTGTCCTTTTGAACTTGGCTGTCTCTCTTTTTTCTTTTGTGTTTGACTGCTTCTGGAGTAACACTGTTGACAGTCAAAGGATTTTAAATTCCTTTGTGTTCCTGGAGTGTTTCTGAATTGTCATGTCTCTTTCTCTCTTTCTAAGTCCATTCCTTTACTCAAAGGCCTTGTTTTAGCTTGTTCACTCACTGCAATCGTCGGTATCTAATCAAATTTGTGTCTGTGTCTCTCTTTCTCCCTCTCTTTCTCAGCAGGCCGTGCCCCCATCGAACTATGACATGCCCGTGTCCATTCCCGTTAGCAACCAGAACAATCTCATTTACAGCCATCCTGGTGGTTCCCTAGGCAACCACAACCTGTTGCCACTGGCTCACCATGGTCTACAGAGAAACAGCATGTCTCCCGGAGTTACTCACAGACCCCCCAGTGCAGGTAATACAGGCAAGACCTTACACGCACTCATGCACCCATGTACATGCCGTTATCCCATCTGTCTATCTTCTCAGCTGTGTGTGTACCTGTCAGCCACGCTAACAGACACACACATAAAATGCACAATTTATTTTATGACAGCTACCCGCAATATTCCACCTTAAGCCAGTGAATGAATCTAAAGTCATCCCCCTCCGGTATATATTCACATATTGCCTGCTCAGTATTTTGTTTAAAGTAAGTTGATGATTTAATATCATATTAAGTCCCAGCCCACAGTCTCGTTGATTTAGTGTGAGGTTCTACACATGGGATGTCTGGCCCTATGTATAGGCATTGAGTTGCTGGTGACATAAGCCAATCAGGCCTGTTGGTTTGTTATTGTTGTCCAAAGTCCTTTTTCTGTCCCTCTGGTCTGAAGGCTGCTGCCCACACCCTCACCCTGTCATTACAACTGGATGCTAGAAGCGCCAGCACAAACTAAATATGAGTTTTGGCGCTCGCAGCATCCACACCAAACCGCACACGTTCTGGACCCTCCCACTCTTCCACCTCACATGGCTTAAAAATAATAATGTGTCATTTTTCTTGGATGTCAGCTTAATGTATCCACTCGCAGTGTCCAGTTGCTCAGAGTGTTAAGATTTGAGTGTGAAGCAGTATTACTTCTGGTATCAGTACACATTTGATATACTGACACACACAAACACACACACACACGCACATTGGATTGTGATTAAATTGAGCTAGCTTCTGAAAGGCCAGCAAGGTAAGAGACAGGAGGGATAGTGGATATTACGTGGGTGTCTATCCTCTAATGGTTTTCTCTCTTTTGCTCTGTTCTCTCTTTCATCTTTCAGGTGGCCTCATGGGTGCTGACCTCACCACTGGCGCAGGCACCAGTGCTGGTAAGAATGGCCTCCTCGTCTCACACACAGTTGTCTGCTAACACATACACATACTCCCACACACACACACACACACACACACACACACATACATACACGGCACCCACTCACCCACTCTGGGCCATAAAATGCATGACTAATAGTAACCCAAACCCAAGTGGAGATTTTGTCCATGATGTGTTGATGTTAGTGGTCGTGGAGTTCATCTGGGAATGTTTGCCCAGTGCTGGGACTGTGACACATCCTGCCTGCGTTCAGCTATAAAATGGTCGAACAAGTGGGGGGAAACAGAAATAAAGTTGCATTATGTACTGAAGCAGCAGACTGACTGACAGGACTTTTGAATGTACAGTTAGAATTTTCTCAGTTCTGAATGATGAGGCGTCTCTTCATTCCTACCTCGTCTTGGATTTGGGTGTAAATTCAGAATGACCAATTTTGAGCAACTTGCTTTGCCACACAGACATGCTACCCAGTAACTGCTAGCATATGTCTGCAACCAAATTAATTCAATGTTTGGAGTGGCTCGCCATGTCATAATGATCCAGTGGAGAGTGGAGCAACCCATGTTTCAGGAACATGTGTAAGAAATCTTATGTGTTAGCTTCTGTGTGTCAATGGCTTTGTCCCTGAGGACATGCCTGGCCCAAGTTTATGGCAAAGAGACTCCTGTCTAAGGGTTAAATTTTACAGCCTCAACGTACAGTGTAAAAATGGAGATGGGGGGGGGGGTCAGTGGAGCACAGCTGGGCAGCCTTGTCTGGCCCCTAGGGCTCCATCACAAGGGGTCAGTGCCTGGTTTCTCTGTCTGGTCACTCATCACACACACAACAGGACCATTTGTTGTGGCGTGTGTTCTGTCGACGGCGTGCTGCAGAGCATGTTTCAAATGTAGTCTTTGTGTCACCGCACCGAAGGAACAGAGGCGCACTGTGAGAGCTGTGTGTCGCTCAGCAGCGGCGAAAAACACGACATGGAGAGAGTCATGTAGGAGCTAAAAGATTCCATTCAAAGCTCCCTTAAATCTCATCTAGGGGGAGAGACTAAGAGCATGTGGGGGGGAAACCCCAGTGATGAATATCCACTGATGGTAGAAGCATGTGTGCTAAGTAGAAATAGTGGGGGAACACAGATGGAAGTGTTCTGTGAACTTGGTCAGCCATTTTAATGATGTTCCCCTAAGTGACTCAGTGTGAGGTGGCCTAGCCACTGTGGCACCGCAGACACTGTTCTAATGTTCTTCTCCTCCTCACCTTAAGTTTTGATAAGCTGATACAAGTAGCTGTCTGGCCCTTGGATGAGTGTCTTAAGTGGTGTGGCCTAAGTGACATAGGAGGGGCCTTGTGCGTGTCTGTGGGTGTGCGTGTGGTTCAGACATGCACATAAACACAACACCTCCTTTGTGCCTCCGATGTCATGTTTCCACTGTCCATAAAGAGAGAAAATTACAGCTTTTAAAGCCCAAATCACATGGAATTAACATTACCTGGGGTCCTCCTGTACTTTAGAGGGATTGCAGAAGTCTTTTGTCTCTTAATCCTGTAAGAGTCTGCCAAGTCCCCAATTTGTAAAGTTATAATTCCACTGCTGATTACCTACCCTATTTTACCAAAGAAAGGTCTTCTGATATTTTGGATTTAGTGTGAATTGTAATCTCAGTCAATTGTACAGATATATTTGTTTTCTTCTTTTTTATGATATTTATATATATATATATATAACATTATTAACATTTTAAATGTTACTTATTAATAATTATGAAGTGGAAATAAACACAAAATCCTTCTCCATTTTTAAAAGGGAACAAGGCAAGGTCCATTTTTGTTCCATGACTTAAACTACTGGAACTTCCCAAAATACAAACCTGAGAGTTCCCTTTCATTGCAGCATTAGCTTGAAGATGCACTATGTTTCAATCATATCTGGAGATAATCCATGGGATTTGGCCTGTAAATTTAATTGAAACACAGACTTTTTGTTTATCTTGTGCAAATATGCCGCACAAAACCCAGACGTGGGGGTAAAGTCTAAATCACGCGAGTTCCCCAGGTAATTCTAGTCCAGTGCAAATAGGGCATGTTACTGAAAGGCTGAGTCATCATGTCTCGTTCTATGGAAATATTGTGGGCAGTGTGTACGTGCATGTGTATGTTCGCTCATTTATATACAGTATGTGTTCAATCTGTCAACTCCTTTGCTGGCTGGGCGAGAGCACGAGGTGAGGAAAGAGACAGAACGTGAGTGAAAGAGAGAAAGAGAGCAGATGAAGGGAGCTCTGGACCAAGGCCTTGTAAAAATCCTCCCACCTCCATTGGTGCAATTATGCAGCTGTCATCTCTGCCCCGATCAGCACTCTGCTCACCATAGCACTGCGAGGAATTAACAAGAAACTTGTGTCACCTCTCACCTTGATCACACACGAATTACTCCCTCAAATGAGTTACATACAAGGTACATCTATAAGACATCGCTGGTCGAAATCACACAGAAATACAAGCTAAAAAGAACACACAAGAACTGACAAAAAAGTCAGGTTCAGTAGATCAAACAATGTGTGTCTCAGTCTTGGCAGCACCTCACACCATCTGTACAACTTGTAAGCGTGAGTGTGACACCTTAGTTCAGTTGGAGAATTCAGGGTTGAATGCACATTTGGCCAAACCGCAACGGAAGAGTGTGTGTGTATGGGGAATAGAATGGAGTGCGCCTGTTAGACCACAACAGGACATCAGAAATTTGTTCAGTAACAGTAAAATGTACAAGTTTAACCACACCTCTCATTTGTGTGTGTGTGTG